GGTTAATGTAAACGAGAATAATGATGGTGTTAGAAATTATTTTCACAGACCTTTGACGGACCCATTTACACTGACTGAACAAATGTTCATAAAAAATTTTCGTTTAACCAAACATCTTACACGTTATGTGATTGATTTATTAAGACCATTTCTTAAAAAGCCAAGCCGTTCATCATCAATTGATATTGACACAAAGGTTTTAACATTTTAAATACAATTTGTAATTTAATTATATATAAGATTTTTGTCTCATGAAGATTATCTATTATAGGTGCTAGTTGCCTTAAACTTTTTTGAAACAGGCTCATACCAAACACCGGTTGGCAACAGTAGATATACTGTACTGTCACAAGCGTCAGTTTCCTGTTGCATTAAAGAGGTCGTAACATCACTAAATAATCCCTCTATTTTCAATTCATGGGTCAAATTCCCGCATACTATTTGTGAGCTCAATGCAGTTCGTCATGAGTAAGACATTTATTATTTAATACTTTTTTAAACTAAAATAACTTGTAGAAATTACTTGTATGGAACAATTTAGTTATTTCACATTATTTTGTTAAAAATGTTTTTACTTTCCCCCATTTTAGGTTTTATCTTAAAACTGGATTCCCAGGCGTGATTGGATGTTTGGATTGTACCCATGTTGCTATAGTGCCCCCTTCAAAAAACCTTAACCTTGAAGAAAACAGGTACCCTGAGTACATGTATGTGAATCGGAAAAATTATCACTCGATAAATGTTCAGCTAGTAAGAATTAATAACATTTTACATTTTTTTTTCTTGCATACTTCCTCACACCCAGAGAAAATTATCCATTTATTAATGAAAAACAGTTATATAAATTAAGTTTGAAATGAAAAAAGTTAATGGATAGAAGTTTATAATTATATTTACTTGGTTTTTAAGAAATTTTTAATTATGTAAGTACATATAAATTGCAAAACAATAAATCATTAAAGCTTAACCTATATTTTTTTCTGAATGCAAGAATTAAGAATAAATATTTTAATGTTATAATGGTATAATATTATAATAATACATATGGATTATTTTATTTTTATTTAGATATGTGACTCAAATCTAAAAATTTTAAATGTTAATGCGTTATTCCCTGGTAGTACACATGATGCACATGTTTGGAATAACAGTAATGTTACAAACACTCTTCAGGAATTACATTCCAGAAACTATAATAACTTCTTTTTATTAGGTAAATATTAATGTATGTTTTTACCAGATAAATAAATTTTAAATTATAATTTTGATACCTTTGTAGGAGATTCTGGTTATCCGCTACGGCCTTGGTTACTCACACCAATAACACACCCCACCACTGCAGCTGAGGAACTTTATAACAATAAACAAATGTCAACAAGGAGCATTATAGAACGATGCAATGGTGTACTCAAAATGCGTTTTAGGTACTCATTTATTTTATTCAAAATTAATTAATTTAGTCATTCCTTCATTCTCAATTAAATATAATTTTAGGTGTCTCTTCAAGGATAGGGTATTGCATTATAAACCGGAAAAATCTTCACAGATTATAAATGCATGTGTTGTATTACACAATATGTGCATTGAACACAATGTACCTGAGATTAGAGAGACTGAAGGAGACATTGATACGGAAATGAACCAGGACCAAGAACCATTTGAGGAGCAACGTGACAACCGGAACCAATATTTAATGCTTGGGAAACAGCAACGAAGCAAAATAATACAAGTACTTCAAAATAGAAATTTATAAATGTATAAGTAAATGTTGTGAAAAATTAATATTCAAGCTTTTTAATGAAAATTAAATAAAAACAAATATTTATCAACAAGGAACTCTGTTGCTTTACTTTCTTGGTAGGTAATTAAAAATAATAATAACATTTTAAATATAACAATTCATAGCATAATAAGATATATGCAAAAAGGTATTTATGACACTTTTTAAGAACATTTTAAATACTATATAAAAACTTAATTTAAACAAATAAAAACAAATAAAAACAAATACTTATCAACAAGGAACTCTGTTGCTTTACTTTCTTGGTAGGTAATTAAAAATAATAATAACATTTTAAATATAACAATTTATAGCATAATAAGATATATGCAAAAAGGTATTTATGACACTTTTTAAGAACATTTTAAATACTATATAAAAACTTAATTTAAACAAATAAAAACAAATACTTATGAACAAGGAACTCTGCTGCTTTACTTTATTCTTGGTAGGTAATTAAAACTAATAATAGTATTTTAAATATAACAATTAACAATTTATAACATTACAAAATAATATACATATATATATAAATACATATGAACATTATTGATTAAATATTTTTATATATTACACATTATTATTCTCCTTATTGACTTTTAAAAAAAATTGACAAAATATTATTTATGTTAGTGACAGTTTGCTCGTCCATCAATTTAATTTTCTTTGCATAATATTCTTTTTTTAGCTCAAGTTTCTGAAGTGCAATGCCCGCTAATTTGTTTGCAGCTTCATTATGATTCTCTAACTGTTTTAATTTAGTTGTTTTTATAAGATCTATGATGAATAATTATAAATATTATTAATCAATTTTATAAATACATTTTAAATAAAAATATAAAATAGGTAAATATTCTTACTTGGTCTTTGACTAATTTTGGGTTCTGGATTAATGGAAACCAATGGTTCTGGCGTTATGGATGTATTATCCAGTGCCTGGTAAGATGCATCTGGGACTTCAAATAACACTACATAATATAATTACAGATTTCAATTTCACTAAAAATGATTTTGATGTTTCAATACTATTTTATTTAATAACAATTTTGAATTTCTGTTTACATTTTAAACTATGTTATAATTTGAATGAATTATATTTAGAAAATGATTCTGTAAAATATTTGATTAAAAGGAGTTATAGGTCACCTAATAATAATAGTTTAATTTTTTTTACAATAACAATTGGTTTTTAATTTTACACATTTAGCTGGGTACAAGTTTATTTTCATAAATACTATCATTATTATAAACATACTCACATTCATCTCCTGGGATAATTTCAACCAACTCGCTATCCATTTGAGAAGTATCTATGCAAATAAATCATTGATATTTAATTTTAAGTACCAAATTGTTTTTGTTTTACTATATTTATATTATACCTAATTGAAAAGTTTCATTTTCATAAACAATTTCTACCAGAGACTCAGAACTTTCTGTGTGGCCAGTTACAGCAACATCACTTACTTGAGCAATGGCATTCAACTGGACATCTGACATAGTAATGGTACAGGGAGGCCCACCCCCGGTTCCATTACTATGCCGTTTAATAGCTGCAGCCTTACTTTTGGCTGTTGCCTTGGTATCTTGCCATGCCTAGAAATAATGTTAAAATATCATCAGAAATATTAAAAGTTAAATGACTATCACCCGGATGCACAGTCTGTGTGTGGCGGGTCACTGAAAACTGCTTAAGTATGGCCTACAGAGAATGTAACTAAATAACCAACAATTATCAAATCTGTAAATTTGAATTGCATAGTCAACATTTGAAGTCGGGGGCTAACATTATTAATACCAATGTGAGGGGGCCTTCGATCCTAGACAATTAAAAAGTAGAGGCCAAAATTACATTCATCGTTAATTTTGAATTAAAAAAAAAACGAAATTCAATGATTTTGAAACATATTTTTTGGCTTAACTATTTACGAAAACCAAAAATCTTTAAATATCATATTTCTGAAAAATTAAACTGTTTCTATTATAAAATAATGCGGAGATCAATAATTGTTGCATTAAGTTAAAAATGAATTACCTTTTTCCATTTGCTTGATGTTTTTTCTGCGCCCGGCAACCCATTAAGTTGGGTTGCTATAGCTTCCCATCTTGCTTTCGCTAGTTTTGAGGTAAACGTGCTCGAAAATTTACCGGCCATAAGTTGTGGGTCGAGAGACAAAAGGTCAACCAACAACTTCATTTGTTGTTTTGTTGGCCTGCTTTTTATCGGAGCACTCATAATTACAATAAACAAAGAACAACTATACAAAAAATCAAACGAACTTGTGAAATAAAAAGTACTTAGTACTTACACTTATTACTTAACGTAAAAATGTAAAACGTATACTTAAAAGTGAGACGCGCAAGTACAAAACTACCAATGTTATCTACAATCGTGATTAGTGATTACTACGTCCACGGATCACGATTAAAGATATCTTAGTCCGTGACTACGCCTATCCATCCGTATTTTATCGTACTTATTATATTTTGAGGTTAGAATAATGTAAGCAAATATGTTACCGCATTGGTTCATGAGACAAATATTATTCCATTCGTTATATGATAAAATTTTATCGATACTAGTTCAAAAATAGCCTACAATTTAAACGTTCGACATAAATTAATCGTATGCGATAATTTTATCATTTTATCGCATGCGATAAATATGTCACATAATCTATAGCTCATTTCAAAAATTGGCCTCCAGCTATATACAAATCATAGAAATTAAACGACTAATTATTCGACTATATTTTGCAACCAACTAATATGAATAAATGAAATTAGTTGCCTAATTATTCGACTACTTTTTTCAACCAACTAATATGAATAAATGAAATTAGTCAACTAATTATTCGACTAAAATAACTGATAAATCGGTAATTCTAAGAAATTTAAATTGTAGTCGTAATTCTATTTAAAACTATTCAAAACAAAAATACCGATAATGACACGCACGGCGCACACACTACAAAGGTTTACATAGGAATTAGGAGACCATAATATTGTGATAGCCGCTAGGTTTTTACAAATGGGTAATTCTAAGAAATTGTAAGGTCTATTGTTCTGCACTTCTGCATTGATTTTATTTAGATAAATAATTAATACCCAAAGTAGGTACCTTAGTAGTTAGTTATCATTCGACAGTCGTACGCGGTATGGACTATAGAGATAGACTATAGGTTATTGAGTTAAACTGTTATACATAAACTCCCATAAAATGTTGAGTAAAAAAAATTCATCAAGCGTGTGGTGCTATTTCACTAAAAATGTAAATAAATCTGACGAAGCTAAGTGTAATTTATGTCATACTGTGTACAAACATGGTCACGGTACATCAAATCTGCACGAACATTTGCGCCGTAAACATCAATCAAAACTTGACGCAGATAAGTCTAAATTTGAATTGGACAAAGATTTAGATTTGCGATTTCAACAAGGTAAGTGATACTGTGATAGTATACTTTTTTAATTGATATTTTAATTCAATATCAATTTTGTATTTTATTTAGGAGAGGCATCAACATCAACATCCAAACGTAGTTTTAGGGAAACAACTATAATGACAAACAATTCAATTAATGAAGTTCAAGAACCTGCATTAAAAAAACAAACAAAGCAATTACTTCTTTCAAAAAGGTAATTTTATTTGATTTATTTACATATTTTAGTACAAAAAAAAAAAGATTTTAAAATACTTTTGCATATGAATATTTATGTAACAGATTTATTTGTATTTTTTAACCTTTTTCGTGACATTTATATCTCAGTAATTTGATGAAATAAAAAAAATAAAAAAAGGTGGGCAAGTGGATGTCGCTCTGCTGTACAGTAGGTTACAAGTGGGTCACAGTTAGGTTCATGGTAGGAAATAGTATAAAACTACAACAATAGTTTTAAAACAACTTACATGTTATAATAATTAATGACAATATAAAATATACAGACTGACAAACCGTCTCCGTTCAGAATCGTTTTTCTTATACAATGATATTATATCATTGAATTCAAGTTTAATACAATCCATTAAACAATGACCAACTTGTAACCTACTGTACAGCTGAGCGACATCCACTTACCTGAATTTTTTCAACTGCTATTGTAAGGATATATTAGGAGCCTTGCATAACATTTTCAGTTTTCACGCTTTTTTACCCAACAAATAAAATTTTATTGATATTTAAAGAAAAAAAAACTAAAAAAATTGAAAACTGACAATGTCTGTAAACAGCTCAAAAAGAGTCAAATTATTTTCAAAATGTTATCGTGTATAGAAAACGCTAATATAAACATTCAGTGAAATGTTCAAGTATCTACAGTCATTCGTTTTTTAATTACAACAAAATAAGAAAATCGTTACATAAGAAATCGAGTGAATATCAAATGTTGTAAAAATATGAATTTCAAACGCTCATAAAAATTTAATTTGACTTTCTAGTAGACATTTTTTTTTTTGACAAAGGTAGACAAACTTATGAGGAATCTTCTATTACATTTTCAAACCTTAGATTTCAAAAGAAAAATTTTTACGAATTTTCAACTCAAAATAATTTGCTAATTTTCGTTATTTTTCCGTATTTTGTCAAGATTTGAACTTTAAATGCTTATAAATAAAAACTGTGACTAACGATTTTTGATTTTTTTCATCTGCCTTTGAAACAATAAACTATTAGCCTTTTATTCAATTTTCAAGCTTTTTTTTAACCAACAAATAAAATTTTATTGATATTCATAGAAAAAAAAACTAAAAAAATTTAAAACTGACAATGTCCGTAAACACTTCAAAAAGAGTCAAATTATTTTCAAAATTTTATCGTGTATAGAAAATGCATATATAAACAACCAGTGAAAATTGCATGCATCTATCATCTATGGTAATTTGTTTTAGAGTTACACCAAAAACCAAAATCAATTTTGTTAAAAATCGATTTTGCATAAAAATTCCCGTTTTTCCTTAATTTTTAAGTTGTTTTTCTCGGCGCTTGTGAAAACTACTGGGAAATTTATACTTTTGACCCCCCCAAAGTACCAACTAGATTCACTTTCCTATCAGAAAAGTTACTGTTGAAGAAAATCCAAGCATTTTTACTGTCCTAAAAGGTGATGACAGACACAAAAAAAAATTAAAAATTAAAAAAAAAACAAACATCATTGTAAAATCAATACATTCATCGCTTCGCTCAGAATCTAAAATTCACAAATATCAGTCAAAGATTCTTTATATCTTGCTCATTTTAATTAATATTATTTTTATAGATTTGGTATTCCATCAGAAAAACAAAAGACAGACTTTGTGAGATCGATTGTTGAAATGATAACTGATGATTTGCAACCACTATCGTTTGTTGAAAATAGTGGATTTCAAAACGTTATTCGATTGCTTGATTCAAGGTACTTAGAGCTTTTACCAAGTCGCCGAACACTAACAAGAAGCATCTTACCTGAACTATACTCTACTACCAAAAATGAACTACAAGATATTTTGAACAAATCAAGCTATATATCCATTACATCGGATATTTGGACATCATTAAATACAGATTCGTTTATGACTATTACTGTCCACACGTTTGATAGTGCTTTCGTTCTTAAGACATTTGTATTATGCACTTTAAAATTAGAAAATAGTCATACAGGGGAATATCTTAGTCAAACGTTGGAAAATATATTTAATGAATGGGGAATTAGACACAAAATTGTAGCAATTGTAACAGATTCAGGGGCTAATATTAAATCTGCTGTAAACAAATTACGAATACCACACATACCTTGTACAGCTCACATATTAAATTTAATTGTTACCCAAGCTTTAGTATTTAGAAGTCCATATGGTGATACTGACAATACTGACAATGATGTTTTAGAACCTAATGAATGTCAAAATCTAAATGATTTATTAAAGAAGTGTCGTTCCATTGTGACATATTTTAAAAAAAGTGAAGTTGCAAATAGGAAATTAGCCGAAAAATTAACACAGTTAGGAGCTTTAAAATTAAAACTGAAACAAGACGTGTCAACTAGATGGAACAGTAGCCTATTGATGTTGGAAAGACTGGTCGAATTAAAAGAACCATTGACCTATGCTTTGCTTTCCTTAAAGAATGGACCTGTAATGTTAAATGCGCAAGAATGGGAAGTAATAGAAGATGTTATCCCCATATTAAAACCATTTGAAGTAATGACTACTGAGTTATCAGGAGAGAACTATCCGACATTGGCAATGGTTATTCCATTAGTAAGAGGTAAGTAAGAAATTCAAAAAAATTAAATAAATAATAAATAAGTAAACAAATATTTTTAGGTTTATATATTTCTCTAGTATCAAAACAAATGAGAACATACTTAGGTCAGCTACTCAAGCAAAAATTGCTGGGAAATTTAAACAGTCGTTTTAAACTCATTGAAGAGCAAAATCCTAAACCTGAGTTTTCAAGAGCGACTCTACTTGACCCTCGTTTTAAAAAATTGGCATTTCAGCATACAATTAATGCTGAAAACGTAGAAAAGAGTATTACAGATGAACTATCTTTACTCATCAGTGAGAATTTGAATGGTAAGGAATTAATAATATTAATTATTAATACATTTTTTTTACATAAAAAAATTTGATTAATTATAAAAATGTATGTTTTTTAACATTACAGAAGAAAATTCTAATATTTCTGAAACTCCTGAAATTCAAACCACCTCTAATAATGAAGCCGTCGATTTATGGAGTTTCTTGGATGATAAACTGAATACAGAACGAACTCAAGTTACATCAGTAAGCATTGCGGATAACATTTTAAAACAATATTTCAGTCTACCACGCGCCAATAGGAAATCAAAGCCAATCGATTTTTGGATCAAACACAAAATACTGTTGGGCGAATTATTCAACTTAGCATTGAAGTATTTAGTGATCCCTGCTACCTCAGTACCTTCAGAGAGAATTTTTTCAAAAGCAGGTGAAATCATGTCAGCAAAAAGAAATAGGACACATCCAAAAAATTTAGATATTGTAACGGAGTAGCCATCACCACATAAAAACGGTCCTTTTCAGGACCACCAATCAGCGGACAGTATGCTAGCACAAGCCACACACACTAACGTTAAGGACAATAACTAAGCCCCAAGTAACAGCACAACAAAAACAATAAGAGTTACATATAGAGGAGAGTTAGACGAATCTAACGACACCCTCCCCAAGTCAATAACCCCAAAATTGAATAAACCACAGGACTTCCCGTACAACTAGTAAACACTACTATACACGGCGGCAGCGAATAGTTTACTAGTCGGTACGGCAGACTGCTTATATACCGGACATTTCCACACCATCGACACAGTCGATAACGGGTATGCCCACTATCGTTAAAAATTCGGTCCTTCTAAAATCAGCAAATTTCAATTCAATCAAAAATTCTATTCATAACCAATCTAAATCGATGTTCTATAAAAACTCTTTCTCTACTCATTCCCACATCCGACTCTTAGGGAAATCTCACACCCCACCGTCCACAAAGTGTAGAATCAAACCCTATCCTTTGACATGGGCCGACCAACAAATTTAAAACCACCTTCCTAAACTTCCATCCACTAGTAGAGGCAAAATCCTGATATAGTTTCACGGCTTAGCCATCCCTCCAAAGCAAAGCAAAGCCATCGACACAGTCTTCAATATCTCTTCATACCTTCAACAACTACAACAAAACGAAGAAACGAAGACCCGAAGACGAAGACGAAGACCCGAAGGCCATCCAGCACAGCGATCTAGCTGAAACTACTAATTACACCGATACGGCGGCGAATACGTTCAACATCCGAGGCGGCAATCGACGAGCGCTGCGTTCCTGACCACCGCTACGAACGAAAACATCGACACAGCGACGAATACACTCGTTGTACGGGGCATCAATCGACGACCACGACGTATCCGTATTACGCCACGGACAACATCATCACCGTAGCGGCGAAGCGCCTATTGTACGACGCGGCAACCGACGAGTGGCATACTCCCATTCACACCACGGACGGAATCATACGCACCGCGGCGAAGATACTCGTCATATGAGGCGGCAATCGACGGGCATACAGTTCCTGATTACCCCGTCGTCGACGTAATAATATCGGCGAACACGCAAATCATCATCAGCGTTACGAACGCGTCCACGGTCGATCTATCAAAACGGTTCTTATCAGAACCAACAATCTAACCACCCACCCTCAGTGTGCCTGCTAAGGCATCACTGCGAGGCGTTATTACTCGAACACGACTTACCAAAGCCCGTGGGAGAGTGATTCCAACTCAATCCATTCATTGTTATATAATTACTCTTATATGAAGTTATAAATCCCCGACATTTGTAAATCACTTCGCACCTCTATAGGTCCGATACCGCCCGTTGCGACTCGCTTCTTTAAGCCAGTCGTTCAGCCCGGAAATTAAATACCTTCCCTTAAATATATAATATAATATATCTCAATAAATAAACGAAATTGTACATATAATATAGACACGCGTGCAATTATTTACGACCACGGGACGTCGGGAATCGACGGACCGTATCAACTGGCGCCCAACCCGTGACTCGAAAAACGATCACCGACAAGCAAAATTTTACTAGTCGGTACGGCAAATACAAGTACCTGACGATAAAGACGAGCAACAAACCAAAGAACCGGCACAATGAGTAATAGAAAAAATAAACGAAATCAAAACCAACTTGTACTAGAAGAAGAAGTGCAGTTATTAGAGAAAACTCGACAATTGGAGGAAAAAGTAGAAACATTAGAAAACACTGCGCAACTAATGCAGGAAAAATTCACAAAATTAGAAAAGCAATATGAAACATTACGACAACTTATCAATGACACAGATACGAAAACGTTAATAAAAACAACACAACAAGATAAAGATATTCAGACATTACAAACGAACGTAACTACAATCTTAAATACAAAAAACGATGGCAACACGGTAAACACTATCAACAAAACTGCAGTAGATATCACGGCCCCAACATTCAGTGGTGATAACAAAGAAGAACACCCAAAACAGTTTCTAAAAGAAATACATAATTAACTACAAATACTACAAATAGAGAAAAGATGTTGGTCATAGAAAATAATCTCCGTGGAAAAGCAGCAAAATGGTACGCTATGATCAAAGATGCAGCACTAGACGAAACAACGTTTAATGAACTTTTCCTAAAACACTTCTTCTCCGAAAGTCACCAATGGGACATATTCATTAAGTGTACTGAAGCGGGAAAGAAACCAATTAAAAAGGATTTCCAGGAGCACTTTCACCATTGGATGGCGGAACTAAAACATCTTGATTCACCGAAAATGAACGAGGAACAAGCAATTAATTTAATTACAAAACATTTTCCAATATCTATTCAAGCATATATACAAACGACCAATGAAAGAAAATTTTTACCCATTTGGGAAAAACTGGGTGAACTAGAAAATAACGTAAAACAGGAAGAAGAACCAATCAGACACAATGAAAACCCACCAAAACAAACATATCCCAGACAGAACAATACATACAACAGAATGACATATACTACAAGCAGTCAAAATCATAAAAATACCTCAGAGTTACACAAACCATACACACAGAAACCAGCACAGCACCAGGGAGGCAACCATAAACCCAACATCAGACAGCTAACCACGGGGCAGCTGGAACTCAACGACGACACCATAACCAGCGACAGAGAAGAGTTGAGTGAAAACGATGAGGAGACAAAAAACTGGGAACAGGGGACGGTAGAATTAGGTCAGCACCAGTCATAAACACCCTCGATCTGAAACATATAAAAAAAAAGACAAAGACTAAAAAACACCCACCAGACAAATCTGTAAATTTATTAAAAGCTGAGGACTTAACGAAAGATGAAGACTTCGACGTTGCATTTAACAAAACACAACAACTGGGATGCCCATATATAAAAACATCTATAAACAATAGAGAATATGAGATGCTAATAGACTCAGGGGCCGAAATATGCGCAATATCGGAAGAATATTACAATGACATAAACCAAAATGACCCAAAGATACCAGTTATACCATTAACGGGATTCAGCATACACAATGCGATGGGCAACAAACCAACAAAAGTAACTAAACAAATCCTATTACCCATAGAAATAGGAAAAGAACGAATACACACACCATTTATTGTAATAAACAATTTGAATGAGAAAGGGATAATAGGCAATGATTTTTTGGAAACGAATAAATCAACAATTGATTATGAAAAAAGACTACTAACAATAAGGATAGACAACAATATTTACGACATACCATTTTCTAAAAGGAATGTTAAGCAACCAGTGCACTTACGAGCAATATGCACACAACCAATCACAGAACCAGTAGAACAGGTACAGTTCAATACACTTCCAGACCATATTCAAGAGAAACTAGACAAACTAATACAGCAGTATCCTAATGTATTTCGAAATACACCCGGGGAGATAGACGGTTACGAGTGTAGAATAAGATTAAAAAATGATAAACCAATCAATCAAAGGCCATATCCTATTCCGGTCACAAAACGTGAGGCAGTTGAAAAAGAAGTTAAGCGTATGTTGGACATGGGTATCATTAAACATTCAAGATCACCATACTCGGTACCGATCGTACCTGTTTTCAAAAAAAATGGCGATGTACGATTATGTCTGGATACCCGAAAGATTAACGAACAAATCATTCCAGACCGCGAGTGTCCAATGACCATAGAGACGATTTTTTCCAAATTTGAAAAAATAAAGTGTATTAGTACATTGGATCTTCGAAGCGGATATTGGCAAGTAAAATTGGAGGAGAAAAGCATGGATCCATGTTCATTCCTCATAAATGGCAGAAATTATTCATTCAAACGTATGCCGTTTGGCCTCAACATAAGCGGATCAGAGTTTCAAAAAAGTATGCACATGGTATTAGGCACACTACTACAATCTTTCGTAACAATATACGTAGACGACATTCTAATTACATCAGAAAACGAGGACAGCCACTACGAACACATTAAAATTGTCTTAGAAAGATTTGACAAGTATAATGTCACCGTCAACATTGACAAATGCCAATTTTTTCGTAAACAAGTGTCATTTTTAGGACACATAATTTCTACGGAAGGAATAAAAATGGACATTGACAAAATAAACACAATTCAAAACTTCAAAACACCAAGCAAAAGAAAGGAAGTACAGAGTTATCTAGGATTTTTGAATTTTTATAGAAAAAACGTAAAAAAATTTGCACATATAATCGAACCATTAATCGAATTAACAAGAAACAATGTAATGTGGACATGGCAAGAGAAACATCAACGAGCGTTCGAGGAGTCTAAAAAAGTATTCTTGAATGATATAATAATAACATTTCCGGATTTTTCAAAACCATTGTACATCAACACGGATGCATCAAGTGTAGCTATAGGCGGAGAGCTATATCAATGGTTAGACAACAATGAAAGAGCAACATTAGGGTACGCGAGTAGGACACTCAAATCACCTGAAACAAGGTACACGACTACCGAAATAGAGGCATTGGCACTAGTTTATTGCTGCAGCAAATTCTGACAGTATATATTAGGTCACAAAACGATTATACAAACAGACCACCATGCACTAACCTTCATGAAGAGTTGTAGATTAACCAATGGACGCCTGACCAGATGGACTCTAGCACTACAAGAATATGACCTAGAAATACAATACATTGAGGGAAAGGACAACATAATAGCGGATACACTTACCCGCTACCCAAGGATCAACGAGGAACGAGACGAAGTAAGAATATCAATCAACAGAATCAAAAAGGCAGAATACAGTCCAGAATTAAAAAAATTAATTGATAATTTGGCAAATCTACAACAATCAGATACAAGAATAAAAAGGATAAGGGAAAAAAAAATGAATACATAAAGGTAAAAGAAAATATAGTATTTGTAACAGGCAAAACAGAAAATGACTGGCGGGTGGTCTTACCAGGGAAAATAGCAAACATGAT